ACATCTCAGAAGGCCTGTCTTCCACTGCTGTCCATACGCTGTCAGCATGCAAGACTATCGGGCCCGCAGGGCTCATGCTTCACACAGTTTACACAGATGATTTCAGAGGCCAGACCTGGGAGGCTGGGGGCCTAGAATCTACTCAGACCTGCCTGTAACTGCCATGGAACCCCAGAAAAACCACTTTACTTCCTTCACCTTGAGTTTGCTCACCCATAACATGAGAGAAACAGCACCTGTTTCTCAAGGGTACCATATATCTCTAACAGTCTATAATTATAATGAAAACTCAAATATAGAAAACAAAATCACTCTATGACCCAGCATATGTATACATGTGTGCTTGTGTGTGTGTGTGTGCGCGCGCACGTGCGCGCACATGCATAGAGACAGAGAGAGGCAGAGAGAGAGAAAATGCACACGAATTCACAAGGAGACATGTACAAGGATGTGCATAGCAGCTGTATATTACTATGTAAGAGCAAAAAAATTGGAAATAATCTAAGCCTTCATCATTAGGAAATACGTAAATAAATAGTGGTATAACAATACATGGAATAACCACCTAGCAGTAAGAAGGAATGGCCTAAAACTCTACATAACAACATGGATGAATGTCACAAACATTGATCAAGAAAAGCAAGTTGCTAAAGAATACATAGACTACAGTAATAACCATTTATAAAGTTTTAAAATATGCAGAGCAATACTTTGCGTAGTTTACCTAGTAAAATTATAAGGATGTCTGTGAAGATGATTCATACACAATTTAGGAAATGGCCATCTCGTGGTGGGAGGGAGGGAGGCATCTGGGAGGCAAAAGTCAAGAGTGCAGAGATGCTTAGGGGCCTCAATAGGATGGGGAATGCTTTATTTCTGGGCTGGATGGTGGAGAGGTGGTTACATTGACTATCTTGGTGTGCAATTTTCATCCTTTTAGAACATAATAAGCATGAATAATAAATTTGTTATGTCATCTTTGCATATCATTACTTCAAAATCCTTTTTGCAGCCTCATGAAAATGATTTAACCCGTCTTTTCAAACTAGCTAATTTTCAGAAACTTACAAACTTTTTAAATGTATTTTGTTTTAAACTTTAAAGCATCTGACTTTCTGTGTGACCAAACCTATTACCAGATGTATGATATACACAGTTCCACCAGTGATTACACTTGACAAAACTATGGTGTGCAGAAAGCCCAATGACCTTCTGAGGTCACAGTCAAACCTTGGGAGGCCAGAATAAATAGCAAGAAGTTGCCACACTTTAGGCAGTGGAGGAAAAATAACATTAGTATGCCACATTTTTCCGTGCCCTACAGAAAGATTCTTCTCACCTCTCCTCTATCCACCATCCCCAGGGATCGTGGATAATCCCTTTTGTCCCGATGCAATGGAATCTAATATTGTTATAATGTGATGTGAAGCCTATAACTGATTTTGGGTTCAGTTGATTTAAGACTTTCACACCAGCAAGTCTAGCTATTAGAGTTTCTGTAGCTGGGAAATTTACCCTTACAGTTCTGTTCAGTTGCCCTGTCACAGATTTGCATTAAAAAAAAAAAATTCCTTTCTGCATTGAGTTAGCCGCCTAGGTAATATGTCTCCATTTTGCATCAGATATGTTATGTATCATATACTGAGCATACTCCTAGTGGATAAAATAGTATCAGTGGCAGGAGAGTCACACATCAGATGGGAATGGTGTTCTTAAATTTCCCACAACGTGTTTTGTTGGCCTCTTGGTCTAGTAGGAACCTAGTCTTCAAGAATCTAACAGAGCTTTCCTTGGATTGATTTTATGTTGTTTTCTTATCTCAATCTCCCCAAATGCCAACTGTGAATAGTCTGGTACCATTAGAATTGGGGTGAAACCAGAGGCTGGAGAGTTATTTTATAAAATGAATAGGTTTCTGAGGTAATCAATTTTGTTCATTCATCACTTCAACAAATATTTATTGAGCTACTACTACATGCCAGGCACTGTTGTAGACGCTGGTAATCCAGGAGTGAAGAAAAGAAGCCAGGTGCTTGTTCTCACAGAGTCTGCCTTCTAGTGATTTCTTAGAGTAACTCAGAGAATTGAAATGACATCAGGTACACATGACGACAGGAAGGATGATGGGCAAGCTCTTTCAGAAAGCCTTTCATGATCTTCTACAACCTTCCAAGCTAAGCTCAGTGCCTTCGTCTGTGCCCCAGGACACCCTGGTCTCTTGGGACAACTAATATTTTAGTAGGTTGCTTTTGTTTCGCAGCATTGGCACTCACCAGCTATGCAACCTTGGGCCAGTTAACTCAACCCTTTCGAGCTTAATAACTAGCTAATCCTTACTGCGCATCTACTATGTCCCAGGCTGTCTGCTAAGTGTTTTACCTAAATCATTTTAGCTAATCCTTCTACCAACCCCAAAAGATAGATCCCGTTGCTATTCCTCCTACTAATAAGAAAACTGAAACCCAGTGAGATTAAGTAAGCTACTCGAGATCAGTCCTGTGGGCAGTAAGTGACCCATAGTAGTAAGGGCCTAATAAATGTTTGCCTCATCCTGTGGGGGTGAGAGTGGGTACCAGGGGGAGGCAAGTCATGCACATGCAGTGTCAGGTCCTATTTAAAACCCTGATACTTTGTTCATCATGGATTTTTTCTGCATTTATGTTGTTTTAAACATTGTAGTAAAGTATTGTTTAACTTGATAACTGAGCTTCTGGGCACCCACTTAAATTGTGGGCCCAAAGTGAGTGTCTCTCTTACCTCACTCTAGTCCCAGTATCATTAGTATTATTGGTATCATATTAGAAGGGGAGTTACCTATTTATTTGTTGATTGCCCCTGCTAAATTCAGAGATATTTAGAGATTCCACCTATGTCTTGTGTCCTTAAAGCCTTGTTAAGAGTTGACACAGAGCAGGTGCTCAAGAAATTGTGCTTGAACCAAACTTTCTGCTCTACAATAATTCAAAGGAAGACTAATCTTCATTCAGTGGGAAAAGAGAACTAGCTGACCTCTTCAGTCTCAGGTAGTATGATTAGTCCATTGGGTGTTATTATTGACAGTAATACTATTAATATTATTTACATATTAACCACAGCTGTCAGGTATTGAGTATCTACTAGGGTCAAACACTTAACACACCTCATCTCAAAGTCTTACCACAAAGCTGGAAACTGAGGCTTAGCAATGTGGAATCACTTGCCCAGCTAGTAAGTGACAGTAAGCATTAGGCCCAGGTCAGTGTGAGTCCAGACTTGGGTTCTTTCCATTCTACCACCTCCCCTTCTCTTTCAATGTACAGCCTGTCACTGAACAGACTGTGGTGTGACTGGGAGCATAAGAAAGGAGCGGGCAAATGAAGAAGATGGTAAAATTATTGAAAGAAAAGATAGGCACAACTGAACACCCAAAGAGGAAGGGAGTGGCTGGAAGCTTCCTTGTCACTGTGCAATGCCATCTCTGACCATTGCTATGAGGTTGTTGTGGAGATTATCCTACACTGTGGTGTGGCCTTGACCTGTATCCACTTGAAGGGGTAAATCGAAGACCTGTCTTTGTGTCTCAAATAAGAGAGCCACATGTCTGTCTTACTGACCTGCCTCCTTTTGGGTAAACTGAGTAGTAAGTCTGACTGGATGACGAGAAGTCTATATGGTTGGGCAGCTGATGATAGGCACCCCATATCAGAAACAAGGAGCCAACTGCACCCAGCATTATGTTCTTTGTCCCCAGAATACAATGAGTCGGCGCTAAATGTCTAAGATCCTACTCATATTTCTACCATGAATGACATGGTTGTATTTTCCAAAGTGTACTTCCTGAAACAACAGTACGATGGAATTCTGTGGTTAAGGAAGGTTAAACAGGCTTTTCTATCTCAGTATCTCTCAGAGCTTTCAAAAACCTAACACGGGTGGTGAATCTCCAAGAGAAGTATATTACAGGCAGCATTTCTCCAACCCACTTGGCCAGGGAATCCCTTTACGTGGAGTACCTCCACATGGGATGGACTCTGGGAAGCTGTGTGTCAGGATCTTTTAGATAGTATTTCAGTAGGAAGTGCCAAGAAGGTGACCTAGGGAAGTGATTCTTAAGGAATCAAAATGTTAATGTCTCCCTCTTTCCATTTTTCACTATAAGAAGGAAAAGTCCTGTAACTAGATTAAAGGAAAGTCTTGAAAATAAAAAATAAATTCACCCTTATTTTCACAACTTGAGAATCTTCTGGTCTTGTCTTTTCCATGTCTATATATCTCTCAATGTGTTTCCGTGTGTGTGTGTGTGTGTGTGTGTGTGTGTGTGTGTATCCAGTGCTTAGAATGTACAGACACTATGCTAACTGCTTTGCATTTAAACCTGACAATAACCCTGTGAGTTAACAAATATGATCCCCATGTTAGAGATTTGGAAATTGAGGCTCAGAGGGTTTAAGTATCTTCCCCAAGTTGCATAGCATGTAGGTAACAGAGCCACTGTTTAAACACAGGTATTTCTGACTCCACAGACTATGTGTTTAAGCACTGAAATGCTGAAATACTTATTTTCTACCCTAAAAAAAAGTATTTGCCCTGAATTTACTACCAGGGAGTTTATCTTATCTCAGATCCTCCTATAGCTCAGTTCCATGTTGAATGATTCAAGGATATTCCAAAATTGTTCCTGCTTTTTGTTTGTCCTTGCCTCCCTCCTCTGACTTTGGATAAGTGTCACAAGGCTTTCACAGCAAGTAATCCTAAATGCCGGGCCACACTTTTCTCTTTTACGGCTCAATAATCTCCTCTGTTGTAAACACATTCAGAAATGATTGTGGCTTTTTCTTGAAGCCTCCACATTTTTAAAAAAGTGATTTGTTTTGATAGTGCTTTAGCCTCATGATTTCAAATATTAAGTTACTTAGAAGATCACCTGAACCACTTTCCCATAAATGTGTTTATGTTGCCTCACAGACTGAGAAATTTCATTCCAGATTTTTTTCTCTCTTCCTTCATTTGATTTTGTGCAGGAGGAGAACTGAATTCTTTGAACTTGTCAGTAAAGGAGAATATGATTGGAACATCAAAAACCATCGGGATATATTTCGGTAAGAAGAATCTCTTGTTTATGTGTTTTTTCATTATTTGAAGATTTAGCCATGCTTTTCTGACAGTGGCAAGGGCACACATGATTTTTAAAGTAACAAAGCTTACACTCAAAACATTCAGAGAGTAGTTGAATAATTAGAGAAAAGGTATGGTGTCTTTCTATCTTCTAATTAATTCTATTTTTGCCCCCTCTCCATAAATTTGCCTTCAGAATTAGAAAATGGTGTTCAAATTGGCTCAGTTTCAGCAAGCTGTGACTTCCTCTTTTTCCTGGGGAAGTGGAGGGTGTTAAGTTGAGGAGAGAGAAGATTTTTGAGTCTTAGAAAACAGCTTTACCCAAAACAAAATGGCGAATGAGCTTTTGTTTTTCTTTAGAGACAACAGACGTTATACATAGAAAACCAGTTGGAACCATTTTAGTGGCAGAAATAAGGAGTCCATTCCACACTTTTCACTGGACTTCTACCTATTTGTTTAGAAAAGACAGCAGCAAACCGCTACCCTTATGTGGCACATTTGAACCCCCTGACTGTAGCCATCCCCCTGGCGAGGCACTACTTCTCTTTCGCTCATATCCTGCCCCCCCCATGTCCCTACCTCACCCACCCCGAGAATTCTGCTCTTTTATTCCTCTGCCAAAGCTGGTGAGCATTCCTGGGAAAGCTTGTGAGGCCAGGACCATGGGCTCGTCGTGTCTGCTCCACAGCCAGGTAACTACTAGAATCGCCCAGAGGGAGACCCCTAGTGTGGCTGCCCCATACCTGCTATGCGAGCCCCGCCCCCAGCCCCTCAGCTTCAGAACACAGGCTGCCTGTGCCTCCCTCTGCCCCGACCACTCTTCATACTTTACCGAGGCCTTCTCCCCTCCCGCAGTAATATTTCTTTACAGACCTTTTTCTTCTTCCTGTCAAGAGAAGGAAGGGACCCTTCCTCTCTTCAAAACTAGCCCTTTCCCTGTGTCCTAATTCCTTTCCCTCCCCCACCCCCACCCCCTAAATTTGCTGTATCGATTATACTCCTTTGACTTGCATTTTCAATCTGTTTTTCCATCATGATCATTCTAGGCCTAGAAATAGTCTTCTAACTTCTTGCGGGGGAAAAAAATCATCCCTAAAATCTGCTTTCTTCTCAAGGTCCAATCATAGCCCCCTTCTTCTTTCAGTTGCACACTTGACTGTCACAACTCCTAACTTCTCGCAAGGCAGTGTTTTTTTTTTTTCTTTGTAACTAATTTTCAGTTCCACAAGTAGTTATATGAATATATTTTTCTGTTACAAATTAAAATATGACAGGCCCCCAGACTCGCCCTGGGCTTCACTCCCAATTCCTATCCTGGCCTATAGCTATGTAATTTGTTATATCCTTTCCAACATTTCCAAAGCAACTAAGGAAAAATACTGTTTAGTGTGGATTTGTTTGTTTTAATGCAAGTTATATATTTATAGCTCAGTCTGAACTTGCTTGTTCACTCAACTATATGCCTTGGAATTTTTCCATGTCCAGACCTTATCATCTTTTACTGTTGCACAGTATTCCAAAGTATGGATTTACCACAGAGTAGTTAGCCATTCTTCTACTGAGGAATTCAGTCTATGAAATGTGATTTCTGCTCCTTTTGAAAGTCACCTCCCAAGGATCAAACCATAGGGTCTTTGTTCTCTTCCTTGATCTCATCACACCCCTACTTGCAGTGGCCTTTCCTTTCTTAAATCTCTCCCTGGCTTGGATTCTGTAAAGCCAAACTCTTCCAGATTTTCTAGTTTCTTCCGACTCTTGCTTCTCCTCTTTGTGCTTCTTCAGCCCTTCCTCCTCCCCACTAACCCTGAAATGTAAGGACCTCCAAGGACCTGTTTTTGGTTTCCTCAGCATCCTTTGGCTTTAAATACCACCTCTGCTCAAATGACTCCCACCCCGTGTCTCGAGCCTGGCCTCTCTTCTGAGCACAACTCCTAAAATGCCAGCGCCCATTCCACATCTCCACTGGGATATTATCCTGAAGAGGTTTTCAAACTGTTTTTGGCAAGGAACCCCAAATGTAAGAAAACTCTTATTTGGAAGCACAGTATGTAAAACAGAGGGGCTGCAGTAGCTCTCCACTGGCCCCCACCTTTGCCTTCCCTCCCCCATTTCATGGTTACACTCTCTGTGCAGAAGGGGCCTGGGGGAGGGGGCGGGCTCTGGGGGAACACTTGGTCTTAGAGAATTTCAAAATAGTAATAAAACCATCTAAAAGTCGGCCTGCTTTTTATCATCACCATGTGCCTGCAGTCTAAACAGTGTCAATGACAAGATACTTCTCCCTGAGAAAAATATGTAGTTGGTATAGGTTCTAAGTGATTGCTGAGACTACTGCTGAGTATCAGAAAAACTGATCTGAAAGCTCCAAATTAGCACATTGTTACTCACCTATAGTCATACAGGTCTCATACGTGTAAGTTAAGTGCAAAAGTGCCCAGTTATCCAGCCAGCCCCTGACACAGGTGGATGCAGTACACACTTTAGTGCAAGTTCCTGAGGCTTCAGAGCCGTTTGCACTTGCTGCGGAGAGAGTGCATGTCTCCAAGCCTGCAGAGTTTCACAGTCCTGCCTTTAAGCTGTATATCCAGACAAGGATAGCACAGTGATGGCAAGGATGAAAAACAACTTGAGTTACTTCGCTTCTGTTATTTTATGTCGACCATTTGGACTTTTTATTTGTGTTTAAAATTTAAAACCGTGAAACAGGGCAAAGTGTGATTTTTGTTTGGTAAATGCAAAATTCAGTTCATATGTGAACCATTTTACTGCATGTGAATATTTTTTAATTAAAATTTATTCATTTTAATTACTGTCTTATTTTTTCTTTTTCTTTTTCCTTTTTTTAAGTTTATTTACTTATTTTGAGAGAGAAAGCATGAGTAGGGGAGAGACAGAGAGAGAGAGAGAGAGTGAGAGAGAGAGAGAGAGAGAGAGAGAGAGAGAATCCCAAGCAGGCTCCACACTGTCGGTGCAGAGCCTGACACGGGGCTCAAACTCACAAACCGTAAGATCATGACCTGAGCTGAAATCGAGAGTCAGATCATGATCTCACAGTTTGTGCATTTGAGCTCCGCATCAGGGTCTGTGCTGACAGCGTGGAGCCCGCTTGGCATTCTCTCTCTCGCTCTCTCTCTGTCACTTCCCTGTACCCTACCTCGCTCTCCTGTGGACTCTCTCTCTCTCAAAGTAAATATTAAATAAATTTTAAAACACATTAAAAAGTAGGAATACTGGCCCCTACCACTGGGTTCAGAAGATTCATTTAGTTAGGAGTTAGTTGACAAAGCACTTAATACAGAGGCAGACACACAGTTGTGTGCTTGTTGCAAAAGCTCAAATATGAGACTACACTGATGTGTTGTTCTGCATAGTGCTTAACACAGGGGTGCTTGGGATTAGATGTGGCTTGACTCCTGGAGGGGGCTTCAGACGCCATTGTGCCTGGTGGTGCTTTGAATGACCTATTATTACCGGCCACTCTGCCCTGTTCCCTGGAGGGGTTTCCTGGGGAGGTGACACAAACCCCACTACCATCTAGGCAGCCTCTGCCATCTGGGAAGCAGACATGTTTCCAAGGCATTCAAGTCTGGCAGGGGATGAAATGTTGACACTCGACAGCAGGACAGCCCTCTGACCTCTAACAACGCACCTCTTTCTTCTGAAAGGAGCCAACCGAGATGTGGTCTCCTGACTCCAATCCTTCATTGCTTTTCATCACATACCGCTGGTTTTAGTACAAAGAAAGCAAATTTGGGACAAAGACGGTGCCTTGTTTTTCCCACTTCCCACCACATCAAATTATAAGCACCAGAGCTATCCACAATTTAAATTGTTCCCTGTGTTTTTATATCCATGGTTGGATGAATTCCAGTTAAACCCAGTAGAAATCTCCTCAAAAATCTGGTTCAGATGTTCCTGTGCTTTCATACGTGCTCAAATTAATGAAAGCTGTAGCTGAATATGTTTCTTCTTCATAATGCTTATAAAACATGGTTGCAACCAGGTAATAAACTGGAGTGAAACATTGTGGCTCTCCCAGTAAATCTTAGCTCCTAGAGCAGGTGAAAATGAAGGAGCTCCTACCGTGGTGTGCGCCTTGCCTTTTTGCTATAGGTTTCCATCCATTCCCATCAATCAGTGATAAGTTGGTAAAGAGATTTATCAGCTATGTATGGGGCATTATATACTGATTCTCTTGCTGATAGTTAAGAATAAAAAGCATTGTCCATTCATCCATTAGAAATTTAAGCAGAGCTCGCTTAGCTCAGGTGTAGAGAAAGTAGTGCTTTGCCTTCCTTGATCTGCTGCAGACATAATAACAAAAGAACACCCGAGGGTGTGTGCGAGCTTTGTCTTCCTAAGCAGTGTGGCCACATGACAGAGATGCGAAACATGGGGGCTGTAAACAGTGCTTCCCTTGTTGAGGAAAAGACATGTGAGTTGGCCTTAGTCCCATTTTATTTATTTATGTATCCAGGATGGGGTTGTTTAGGAATGCAACAAAAGATTATTCAGGCTGTTTTGTTTGGTTCTCTTTTTCAGATCAATGTTAATGACAGCCTGTGACCTTGGAGCCGTGACCAAACCATGGGAGATCTCGAGACAGGCAAGTGGTGATTAATGACAGAGCTTGGCAGAGGAGGGACCGCAGGAGGGGGATGTGGGGGGGACAGTATTCCCAGAGCCCCGACTCCCAGGCACTGAAACCCTAGTCAATTTGCATCAGTATTAACATGGTGTAAAAAATAGCGGGAGGCTTGGGGACGACATAGTTTATTGCACAGCCTTTCTTTAACGTGCTTCCACTGAGCAATAGTATTTCTGACTCTGTAAGATTTTGTTAACACTCTAAATCCAAATAGCACATTGACCATTTCCTCAGGCAAGAGTTTCAAAAATAGTATTTTTAAATAGGTAATCGTGTTTTAGCACAAGGTCCACTTTTTTCTCATCTGAAAAAAAAAAAAGAGAGAGAAAAAAAAAAAACCAAGGAGGTCAAAAGGAAATTTCATTTTTCCTTTTAAAAGACTATTTGGAGATTGGATCACTTTGGCCAAAGTATGCAATATCCAAACTTATTTTGTACCAAAAACATTGTGCCTTTACCCACCTATCTGGTCTCACTGCTGAAAGTGTTAGTTTAGAGCAAGAACAGGTTTTAAGCCAGTAACCACACAAGTTGAGATCCTTGACTACTGATAATATTTGGAGTTTAACCTCTTTTTTTTTAATTTTCATGTGGCACACCTACTTTGTGGGGTTTAAAATAGTAACTTGGTATCTTAAGTCTCAACATTTTAGGGAAAATAAAGTAAATTCATATAACAATAAATAACTAATATTTACTGACTAAATATCTAATTTTAAGCGACTACTTTATATGTATCATTTAATCCTCAAACCCCCTTCCAACTTGGATTTAGGTGTAGTTACTCTAATAGGCTGAATAATAGTAGCCCAAAAATACTGGATGGTAATGTTCTGGAACCTATAGACATTGCCTTAGAAGGAAAAAGGGTCTTTGCAGATGTGATTAAGTTCAGGGCCATCATTATCCTGGATTATCCAGGCAAGCCCTAAATTCAATGACAGGTATCCTCCTAAGAGAGGGAGACACAGGGAGATTACACATTCAGAATAGAAGGGGATGTGAAGACAGGCAGAGAGTAGACCGATGTGGCCACAAGCAAGGGAAAGCTGGTAACTCCCAGCACTAGAAGAGGCAAAGGACAGATTCTCCCCCAGGGGCTCCAGAGCAAGCTTGACCTTGGCAACACCTTGATTTCTGTCCAGTGAACCGATGTTGACCTGCTAACCTCCAGAACTATGAGAGAATAGATTCCTTATTGCTTTAAGCCACCAAGTTTGTAGTCATTTCTGGCAACCCTGGGAAACTTATACAGTGATTACCCCTATTTCACAAAATGGGAAAAATGAAGCCTAGAAAAGATATGTAGCTTGAAGTGATACATCAAGTAAGTAATGATACATCAAGTAAGTAATGATACACCAAGTAAGTGATAGAGCTTGGTATTCAAATCCTAACAGATTCGGCTCCAAAGCTTTCATTCTTTGCAGATATACCAATTGGCATTTTTAAATGATGCCAGTCTGTCAGCAGAATGGGCTGTTATCCCTCAGCCTCAGTCATCTAACACAACACATTGCTTATGAACATGTGCCTCCAGGGTCAGCTGGTACTTTTCCTCATTTTGGACTGCAGCTAAAGGAGCAGCTACCATCTGGATCATTCCAACAGAGGCCCTAGCGTGTCTTGCACTGGCAAGTAAAATGGCCCTCCCCAGAAATCCTTTGGCCAGAACTTGTCACAAGACCCCACCCAACCAGGAAGTAGTAATCCTTGGAAGAGCAGAGAATGTAGAAAGCCAGAAATAGTTGATGAAAACGTGACTAACACAGTTTGCCCTTCTAATCACCAAAAAAATGATTCACTCTCTTTTCTTGGGCAAAATATACTCATCCTCTTCCCAAGGGAGATGACCCAAATGTCCTGAGTCATGGTATCAGGCTCACATCTAGGATCTCTGGGTGATCTATGCCAGTCTCTACATCAGGTCTGGATGCAAATTAAAGACCTACACATACCCCAAAAGCATCTGGCATACACTCAAACCACAAAATACTTATTATAACACTCCCATTCAGAAAGGGAAGAGATCGCCAATATTTGGCAATCCCAAAATCCCACTGGGCATTCACTGAGAGGCCATCCACACTGTGGTAGACCCTGATTCTCTGGGAGATGCTCCCCAGTCATCATTGTCCATGGCCCTTAGATCTACCCTGGGACATTATTCCTTTTCCATTATCTTCCTTGCCTATATCCAATGGCCAGGCAGCTTTCCCAGCCTGTCTCCAACATAAAGAAGGTTGAGGACCCAAGGCTTGTTTTAAGTTTTAAGTAGTCACAGACTTAGGGGATTTGGGGCACCAAATTCTCTTAAACATTTAGTCAGCTTCTTATGTCTTTGATCCTAGTCACTTCCATTTTCCAATAACCACATCCACAGTTCCATTCTAGACAGACTTCTTAGATCTGCTCTCTTTGCTTCCTTGTATTCAAGAACAAAGAAAACTAGCATATGTACTTCTTTCTTCCTCTTTCATGATCCAGTTCCTAGTTATTGGGGCCTAATAGCTGCCAGTGGGAGAACCAGGTAGCAAAATCATTTCCCTGGGCCATGTTGTCCAATTGAAGGGATAGCCTGTGTACCACCTAATTCATTCAGGTTTTAACTGTGAGGGCATTGCCCATACCTTTGATTCTTGTTGTAAGGCTGAGTCTTGATCTGCTTTTGTCATTCAAAACATATCTCAATTTTTACTTTTACAGTTTGGGGTTAAAAACTTTTACAACTTTATCTTCCATCTCTGAAGATGAAGACTCTGAATTTGTGACTCTCTCTCTTCCCTTTCATTCCTGGTTGTAAACTTGCCAATCCTTTTTGGAGCTCCCTTCTTATAATACCTAGCAAAGTGTCACTAGCAATCCTCACATGCTACTAATATTTTGTTTTCCAATCTGTTCCCCTCAGGCTGTAAATTAATTTGATACATTATTTGCTTTATTTCAATGAGAACTGTACAAAATATTTTGCCACTGTGTAACATGGGTCATCTTTCTTATAGCTTCCAACAACCATTTCCTCACTGTCTTATACCTGCCCCCCAAGTTGAGGCCACATATTTTAGAGTCTTATTTTTCTTCATAATTTTTCTTTCTTTCTAAAAAGAAAGCACCTCATTTCCATACCATTTTTTTATGTTAGTCAAAACTAGGCTAGGCTTTGCTGCAGTAACAAGTATATTCTCAAATTTCAGTTGCTTTACTCAAAGAAAAGTTTATTTCTTGTTCCTAACACAGTCCAATGCAGATTTCCTATAAAGTTCTCCTCCAATAAATAGCTCTCCTCCAGTCGAACTTTGGTTTTCATTTTAGTGTGACACATTTGAAGTTACGTAAATCAGGGAAGAATTTACTTGGTTGTGTAGCTTATTTCTACACTTCTGCCCACCCTTCACTTCCCCAGTGTGGGAAGGCTTCCCTATAGTAAAGTCTGGACCCAAGAAGAGGTAGGTATCTTCCAGGTATTGGGGAAGAGTGTAGTAGTGGCATGGCCTCTCTAATTGGGATGGAAAGAAGTGGAGGAAAGAAAGTTCAGGGGACCAGGGAGAAAATAGAGAAGATTGGAAAGAGAATGGGGTGAGGTATGATGTGCTGGGACTTTCAGAAACCCCAGTGAAATGCATGTTGACAACTAAGGGAACAGTAGCCCACTTGGGAGCAGGAAAGGGACAGGATGAAATACTTAAGAAGAAAAAGGTTTTTGCATTGATAATTGTAGACCAACTTGGGAGGCCCGTTGGCCACTTGAAGGTGGTTTCTTGGTCATTGATGTAAATAGTATTTTATTTTTAGGATGTGAAGTTCTGCTGATTAGTGCAGAAACCCAAGAGTTTGGGAAAATAAAGCACAAAACCATGTTTTTCCAAATTGAATAGGTTAAAACATTTTCAAAAACATACTTCTATGATTTTAGTAAACACTTGGACAAAAACAATAGAACCTTCTTTTAAAAATATAAATGTATTTCTAATTTCCTAGAGGTTGATATTTTTAACATTTCCTTGCAAAATGTTTTTTTACTGGTGTCATTCCAGTTTTACTTCCTCACAGACATGACTCTAAGCATGTGGGTTTCCCCAGTGACCCCCCAAGGCCTGATTAGCATCTCAATTTCCTTCTTTAATAAAAAATTCAATCAGGAGCCACTTAATGGTCCTGATTGGGTTTTTAAGTACAAATGAAACAGTGGTACAAGTTGAACTGTGAAAGAAGCACAGGGGAGATACCCTGGACCACTTTAGAAAGATCAAGGACAGAATTTGTTTTAATTTCTTTGCTTTCCAGGGGTGATAGACCTGTGCATGGCTCCTACCTTGGGGTGACCTGATGTGCACATTTGTATTCTTTAGTGCAAAAGACCCACCTCAGAGCAATCTGAGGGAGTGTTCTGGGGACTGAATAAATGAGGCCAGTCCCTTAGGGGACCATTTCTTTTTTAAAGGAAGGCCAGAGACAGAAAGAGAGGCCTGGAGTGCTAATGTGGCAGAGACTAGAGAGAGAAGTGAATCAGGCCCTAGAAAAATTAAGCCAACCCCAACTAATTTTACGTTATTAAATTTTTTAAAGGTACCCATATTCCTTTTTAGAACTGTTTAAAATCTGGACTGACTAGAGATTCTATTTCTTTACATATGAGCTACATATTTGCTATTATCAGGGTGTGTGGGTGTGTATAAGAGATAGAGATGCTTTTATGTTTTATCAGTAGTCATGATTTATGGTGGACAGAATCTCTTGAGAGATACACTTAGGTAAATTATCTTGATTCTGTCCACTTGACCAAAATTAAGCCATTCTAGCCTTTTCTAGACCTAAGAATCTCATCTTCATAACAGCATGAAATACAGGAAAAAACGGTCTGGGGATCTAGACCTTCTTGCCTTCAACTTTTCTGAAATTTTGTTTTCTGCTCTTCCAAATTTTATAAATCCAGCCAGTTCATCTCAGAGATTTCCTAGATCTTGTGCCACAGTGTTGCTGAAAATACCTGTTTAACACTTATCTGTTATATCATAATGCTTCCCATAAGCTATCATTAGAAGCACAGGGCTTGGAGAAGCTTCTCTGTAGCTTAACAATGATCAATCATCAACTTCTGATCATCCATGCTAATAGATGAAAAGTGAAAAAAAATAGAAGTCCTTACTTTGGAAAAATCTCTACCATTTGCTTGTACCAACTGGAACCTACCATAGATTCTTTTAGTACATAGATTAAGACAGCCTGAAAACCAAATCGACATTCTTCAAACTGTATCATGACACACCGTTTAAAAAAAAAAAAAACAAAACTGGTATGATCAGTGAATCTAGCATTAGCCCTGCCCCTTAGCTGATTGCTCCAGTAAGAAGCAGAGGTGTGCCTTGGGGTTATCCTTTTCAGAGTCTACACAATTATTGGTAGGGTGAGGCAGTTAAGAAGTTTCACTGGATGGCCAGTGACACCAAGCTAAGATAAAAGTATGCAACAAAGTAAAGAATCTAGGCTGAAACAACCAAAGGTTAGCAAAATTATTACAAGTATATTGTAATATAGAAACAAAAATTATGATTAGGCATTATTTGCCTCACTTTTCTATATTAAGAACATTTCCTACTTTGAAGGTGGCAACCCCATGCCTCATCTTGAATATGGAATCTGTACTGTCAGAGATCATCTACTGGCGTGCATCTAAAACTAGCCTGCACAAGTTCTTCTGATTGAAAGGAAATCAGTTTCATTGATTAAGTTCTATATGTTGAAACAGAAAAGGTTAATGTACTCCTTCAAAAGCTTTTTAAATGATTATCTATGTTGAAGATAATCACCATACACGTGAGGCAGAAATAACTTCTGAGTCTTATGATAAATTACACATAACCATAAATTACATATTTATATGTTCCAGGTGGCTGAACTTGTAACCAGTGAGTTCTTTGAACAAGGAGATCGGGAGAGATCAGAACTCAAACTCACTCCTTCTGTAAGCCCATCCTTTGACTGTGATGCATTTAGCCTTTGGAATGACATTTTCAGAAGTAACTCCGAATCACACCCTGAAAATGGGAAAGACTGAGAGTGGATTTAAGAAAGCACTCCTGAAAGTTTAAAACTTTAATTAAACTTAGATGCTAAACACTCCTGTTCCCAGGTTTCTGATTAAGAGTGGTGAGCTACTTAGCAGCATTTCCTGAGCTCACAGGGGAGGACAAGTAGGCACTAGGGAGGATGTGCAGATTGGCACCTGAGCAGCGCAAAGCCCAGTGCTGGCCTTACATAAGTGGTCAGTACCTACCTTGGAAGAGAAATACGGATAAAAGTGAAAGGCAGGCTGTCCAGCCTTGAGGAGCTTAGAACAGACAGCTGCAGTAAATAATGGATATTTTGGTTTTTACTTTCCAGTTTTGGACTTTCCAAAATCCCAAACCCGGGTCATGTCAAGTCTCTGGTTTCTTTCCTCTGCTTGCAAAATGAAAAGCCTCACTTGGGGAACTAGGTTCTGTTGACTGAAATGCTGTTTTTGTTGGATTCATCCATTCAGTTATTATTTGAGAATGCCTATCATAGGCTCAGGACGATGCTGTTTTTACTCAAACAAGACAAAAGACATAAACGCCTCAGTCACCACCCACAAGGAGGGAGTGGCCTCTTTATTCTTAAGGAATGGGTAGCTACAAATCATCACCTCACAACTCAAAGAATGGTACAAAGTTCTGTAAAGCTGGCACAGCACAGTAGATTCAATCAGGCTCATTAGTAGATTCATTAGGCACAAGGAATGTGTCAGTCGTCAAGAATGTCTGTTTATGAGGATCCAAGTCAACCGAGTTCTGAACAATTGGAGGTATTTGTAAGATCTTCAAGGTTAAGGACACCTGTCTTCACTAGCATTTGAAAGCACGGAAAAGCAGCAGCTCTCACTCCTAGCCAACCAGCTTCACCTGTCTGAAGTCAGGCCTCACAGTCTTAACTAATTTTGCCTATTCTTAATTTGTTGCCTACCTATAAAAGTCAGAAGACTCCATAGGCTAAAACACTCAGCCCGTATTTTAGTTTCCAAAGCAGTATCTACTTACACTGATTCCAAAACATCCCTTTATTCTTTTTTTGGTGGTATCATCAGATTTGGCTGTGAGACTAGATTGGGGTACGTAGTTACTGTGTAAAATCTAGTACAACCCAAATCCCTCTCAGCTACATCTCTATTTTCAAATTAAAGCTTTCCTCCACTTAAAAAAAAAAAACAAAAAAACCTGTTTCAGGGGCATCGTCTGAAGGGTTTATAATGTGGTGATACCACAGGGCATTTAATTAAGTGGGAAGAAAATATGAGTGGGTTACCAGCACCGGCGAGCTGGCAGGTGCAGTGACGCAGCACTAAGGAGGCTTTGTCTGTATGCTCAGGTAAGGCATTCTCTGAACACACAAATGAAATTAATTTTGCGGTGGAAACACTACACTAAATGCTACTCTCTCCTCACAAAAGGCTTCTCAGCATTGCCGGTCACAGTCTCCTGGCTGCTGTGGCAGGGGTATTTCTCATTAGTCCTTTTCCAAAGACGGCTGGAAATGCATGCACGCAGAGGAGACACCAGCCGTGTGTCTTTTATTTATTGATATTTAGGGAGAAAATTGTCTGGGAACCCCCCATCTGGTGTCATGGTTCTAGAGGTCATCAGGGTAACTTTCTGAAGACAAAGGCAAATCTAGACCACAGCCAAAGGGTTCATAGTGGAAGCAGTGAGTTGGTTAGTAAAACATGCTCAAGCACCTCCAGGTCGCGAGTGTGAAGCTGGACACTGTGCATCCAGCCATGAGCAAGGCCGTCAACTGATGGGAAGCATAGACATTAAATAAATAATCACTCATAATCGACTATAAGATGCAAAAGGCTGTAAAAGGAAAGCACAGGACAATCAATGCTCTATCTCACACTTCCACTCAGAAATATTTATTGAGAAATGACGAGTCTAGAAATAAACTTTTACAGCTATGATCAACTAACTGTCAACAGAGTGCTAAGACAATTCAGTGGGGGGTGGGGGGGTAGTCTTCTCAAATAGTGCAGGGACAGCAGGATATCCACATGTGAAATCTCAAAATGGATCATAGACCTAAATGTAAGAGCTAAAACCATATAAATTGGACTTCATTAAAATTTAAAATTTTGCATCTTAAAGAACACTATGAAGAAAATAAAAAGACAGTCTACAGTATAGGAGAAATTGTTTGCAAATCATCTATCTGATATGGGCCTGGTATCTAGAATATATAGAGAGCTATTACAACTCATAGAAGGACAACCGATTTTTAAAAAGGGCAAATGATCTGAATACATATTTCTCTAAAGAATATATATAAATGGCCAATAAGCACATGAAAAGATGCTCAAAATCATCAGTCATCAGGGAAATGCAAACCAGAACCACAGTGAGATACCACTTCACAGGGACTAGCTATAATTAAAAAGACAATCAAAAACAAGTGTGGGTGAGGATGTGGAGAAACTGGAATTTCCCACACTGCTGGTGGGAACATAAAATGATGCAGCCGCTTTGGAAAACAGTTTGACAATTCACGAAAACGTTAAACATTGGCTTCAGCACATGGCCCGGCAATTCTCTCTCTAGGTATATCCCCAAGAGAAGTGAAAACGTGCACCCCATGGAAACTTATACATAAATGTTCACATTATTCATAATAGCTGAAAAGTGTGAACAACCCAAATGCTTATCATCTGATGAACGGATAAATAAAATACGGTATAATCTATGCAATGGAATATCATTTGGCCATAAAGGGGATGAAGTGATAATGCATATGCTATAGGAATGAATCTTGGAAGCATCATGCTCAGTGAAAGAAGCTGGTCACAAAAGACCACGTATCATATGATTATTACATTATTATTATTATTCAGCATAACCAAATCTATACAAACAGAAAACAGATCTGTGGTTGCCTGAGGCTGGGGACTTGGGGGAGATGAGGAGTGACTGCCAATTGATACAAGATTTCTTTTTGGAGTGACAATAGTGTTCTAAAATTGATTGTAGTAATGATTGCACAACTAATTGTGAATATACTAAAACCACTGACACTGAATTAAAAAAAAAAAAAAAAACAATTCTATACACCAGAAACAGTAATTAAGTAAATAAGGAAATTTCAGATAGCAATGAGAGCTGAAGAGTAGATAACAGAATAACATTTTTTTAATGTTTATTTATTTATTTTTGAGATTGAGAGAGAGCGAGAGTCGGGGAGGGGCAGAGAGAGAGGGAGACACAGAATCCAAAGCAGGCCCCAGGCTCCGAACTGTCAGCGCAGAGCCCAATGCAGGGCTTGAATCTCCAAGCTGTGAGTTCATGACCTGAACAGAAGTCAGACACCTAACCGACTGAGCCACCCAGGTGCCCCCAGAATAATACTTTTAAAGGAACAATTTGGACAAAGACTCGTGCAGTTCACAAGAACCACTCCATCCTCCAGCACATTTCATTCTTCTCCAGATCCTAGTCCTCTTTCCTGGTATTTCACGTTTCGTGTTGCAAGATAAGGATGAGAAGAGCCTGTGGGAGTCAGTGACCTTCTCTGACTAGAGATTTTGTTGGAGATATTTGGAGATATTTCCCTCGGCAGCACCCTTATGTCTTACGTGAGCCCTGGCAGCTGGTGATTTCTGTCCCACTCATTCCCACCTTCACTTATAAATCTGAAGGATGCTGGATTGTGCAACATCTCCAGACCAAGGGAAAGCCCTGGATCTGCCTTCATGACCTGTGTGAATGCCAAAATAATGAGGATGCCATCCACTGTCTCTGTGAAGGAAAGACCAAATCTGTTCTAGGACAGCAATGCAGGGAAAGGTCGCTTCTCAGACCTGGGCCTTCTTCCTTGATAGCAAAGACAGGGGCATCCTTAATGGAGTAGGACTGCCAGGCTTTGCTCAAGAATCCCCGTTAGCCCCCAGTTCCAACCGATCGTTTCCCTTTTTATATCTGCCCAACAGATATATGTACTTCTTTTTCCCAAAAAATATACCTAAATTTTCTAACCACTGTAATATCATGAAGTTTAAAGGCTGAGAATGAGGAGAATGGGTACCTGCCACCATCATCCATCCAATGACAGATAAAAATTTAGGAATCTATTAATGGCAGAAGCTTATCGAAAAGCACCGAGTTGTCAAACCAACACCCCGCCCTGAAAATGTAATACAGATAGTTTGGGTTTAAAATGAAACTGTTTTTAAGACTCTTTTCTCGACACCAAGAAATGGAAAAACATTCCATGCTCATGGATAGGAAGAATACAGTTAAAATGTCATTACTACCTAAAGCACTCTACACATTCAATGCAATTCCAATCAAAATTGCACCAGCATACTTCTCAAAGCTAGAGCAAACTATCCTAAAATTTGTATGGAACCACAAAAGACCCCAAATAGCCAAAGTAATACTGAAAAATAAAACCAAAACGGGAGGTATCACCATCCCAGACTTTAGCCTCTACTACAAAGCTGTCATCATCAAGACAGTATGGTATTGGCACAAAAACAGACACATTGACCAATGGAACAGAATTGAGAACTCAGAAGTGGACCCAAAAGTATACAGCCAACTAATCTTGGACAAAGCAGGAAAGAATATCCAATGGAAAAGACAGCCTCTTTAACAGATGGTGTTGGGAGAACTGGACAGCAACATGCA